TCCTATTTAAGTCACCATCTCTATCTTGGTCCCTTCCTTGTTCCATCCCTGCCTTGAATTTAAGATTTGGATCTGTTAGAAATAACCAAAGAGGAAGTCCAAGCTGGAGGGATTGTGACCCAAGAAGCAAAGTTGTCTATTTCCCCAAGTACTCAAGGAGTTGGAGCTATCAGTCCTGCCTGAGAAAAGGAATGGTGGTAGGACTATCTCAGATAATGTGGCATTGTCACCAAGCTAATGTGCTTCATTTCCCCCCAAAGACAGGTCAGAAGAAACCTAGAAATATTCAAGGCCATTAGTTAAGATTGATGGTTTAATCTTGTGAAGGTAGAGGATATAATGATATGTATTGAAAGTTGTTGAAAAATGGGGGGGGGAGGTAAAGGGGGGTAAGGGAGAGCAATGGAAGGGGTTGAACAGACCAAAGTAAAGTAGACTAACAGTGGGGACACACTGAGAAACCCCTTTGAACATCGACTTAAATATTAATAATGAAAGACAGGACTGTAAAATAGGTACAGTGTAGGGGGTACTTGTGGGAAGAGGGAGGGTGAATGAAGGAGATTAAGGTGAGGGTATATGGTTGGATTTCATATACTTACATGAACTAGAACAAAGAAACCTCTTGCAATTGCTTTAAGTGGGGAGAAGGGGAGAGACAGTGGAGTAATCTAACCAATGTACAATAAAAGCCTATTTGGAACCGGTCACAATGAATCCCCCTGTATAACGAATATATCCTAATTTTAAAAAACAGTAATGGTTTATTTATGGTTGGAGTGGTAAGGTCACTCAACTAGCAACAATCAAAAGTTTTTGGAAGGACCAAGATGTGTGAGGAAACTAAAAACCTGACAATTGGTAACATTACAACTAAATATACCAGAAAATGCAAATTAAAACTATGAAATACCATTTTCACCAGTTTGGATAATTATCAGCTATTTAAATTTGTACCACTTTTGACAAAGAACTCCCTGTGGGGAAATAGGAATTTCCCCACTTTTGTGGAAAGACAGCAAGAAAGTCTCATTTGCCATTAGTGGGCACCCAAACTGCATTCTTTAAGGTAATTTAGCTGTATTTATCAAAATGTAAACTACACACATCCTTTAACTTAGCAATTCTTCCCTCAAAACCTATCCTACAGAAATACTTATACATAGGAGCAAGATTATATATAGCACTATTTGTAATAGTGAATGACTGGAGGCAAATTTCCATCAACAGGTGAATCACTAAATTGTGATACAACCATACTATAAAAGGTTAGGGAGGCTTTTTTAATGAGGTAAATTTCCATGTATTAAGGCAAGAGAAAGTACATAAGATATTACATATTGAAAAAATTAAGTTGCAAAGTAGTATATATAATACTCCATTTAAAAAAAACTATTACTATATACAAGCATGTGGGTACCCCTACATGTACATATGTGTATACTTACATATGTATGCATGTATGTATGTATGTATATGTATGTCTATACACAAACAAAAGGTCTGGGAAGACACACACCAAATTAAAAGTTATTTTGAAGAACTGGACTAGGGAGAAGGATGAAGAAGAAATCTTTCACTTTTTACCTTATACATGTGTTTTGTTTGAATTTTGTCAACTAACATTAGTTTTGAATTTTTATCACAATAAAATATCTTAACAAAATAAGCACTTTTTGTCATTAGAGAAATCAGCAGTTATAATTTACATATTTTTAATAATTCCACATAGATATGGGATGACTACTGAAAATTTTCAGCTGGACCACCTAGGATAAAATTACAGGAACTATAAACTCAATCTTTACCCAGTTTCAATGGGGTACTCATGACCTGATACAATGGAATGTGGACCAACAAAAAGTAATCAGGAAAAATGAAGATTCACTCATTTCTGGAAAACTAACCTCTCCATTGTACTCAGGAAAAATTGTGCTTTAATTTTTTTGGTAGCATCACCTCCAGGGTTTACTCCACTCAAGATAGGAAAGCCATAAAAATTAGTTTTAAGATATCTCAGAGCACTGGAGATGTGGCTCAGTGGTAGAGTGTGTGCTTCGCCCTGGGTTCCATCCTATGATCCCATCCCCCAAAAAATACCTCAGAGATCATTTAATCTTCTCATTTTATAGTTGAGAAAACAGACCCAAAATGGTAAAGCAATTTGCCTAAGGTCCTACAGCTGCTATAGCCAGTTCTGAAAGTCAGGTTTCTATTCCACCCCTGATAACTCTTTCTACTTCTTTTCGTATCTTCCTGAGTCTTCAGTCTGGTGACATATTATGAAATATTTTAAATCTTATAAGAATATTAGACATCTCTAAATTGAAATGTTATAACAAAAATATGTAACAAACTTAAAATGTATATGACACCATTAGCACAAATGTTGAAAATTTTATCTAGACAAAAAATATTATTGGTATATTTTCTTCAAAAGTAATACATAAATAAAATTTCTGTGAATCTAATTATGTTTAGGGTTTAGTTAAGAACTACTGTTTTAATTTCTAATAGATATTAAATTGGCAGTACCTCTTAATCCTTTACCTTCAGTTTCTCTAGATCAAGTAGTTGATGACCTAAATACATTAAAAACCACCATAGAACCCATCTACTTCAAGGAATCCTGCAGTGATGTAAAGAACTCTTTTGAGGACTGGTAGAGCACCTGCCTTGTAAGCAAAAGACCCTGATTTCAAACCCCAGTACCAGAAAAAAGAGCCTTTTGTGATACTGATAATTAGCCCTTAGTTTACTTTGTAAGGAATGAGTTCTCTTCAAAAACAAAAAAAGCATAGATAGACATAGACAGAGAAAAAGGAAAGAAGTAAATTTTTAAATAAAAGAAGGAACAATTGGTTTTTCAAGGCCAAAAAAAAAGATAAGAGGAATGAGAAGTGGCAGGTGGTCGGGAAGGGAGTAGCAGAGAACCACTAAATTAGTCACAAGGAGTTTATATTTAAAAGTAAATATTTTTTAAACATTTAAATATTTTTAAATATTTAAAAGTGAATACTATGATATATAAATGGAATAACAACCACCTAACCTTTAGGCTATAATTAAAGTGGTGTCCAGTTTTAGACTCTATGACTTAGGGACATGTGAGGACCTTGGGGAAAGATTTCAGAATTATAAAGATAAAAGGGTTAAAAAATGAACCAAGTGAGAAAAAATTAGAACTGTTATGGTGTCTTAGAAAAGAATACCAGAGGTGACTCAACAGTCCTCAAGGATATGAAGAAATATCCATTCCAGTGAGCAGCTGGTTTGCATTCCCACAGAAGAGAGTAATTTTACTTAAATTATTACAGCAGATATTTCAACATAGAAGTGTCTCACCTAGGATATCTGTCATACAAAAACTCCTGAGAAGCCTGCTGTTGTTCACCTCTCCTACCTTTACTAGCTCAACTCTTCATCTTAAAGAATGGGTCAAAGGGTAGACAAGGTATCTTTGGAATGTGAAGATGTAGACTTCTTTTAGGTCCAACTATGTGTAAAATTTGTTGTTAGCTTCTGTCTCCCAGATCCCAGGGTAAGGTTGAGCCCTTTCTATGCTGTGGATAAAAGGGATTCATTAGTAGTAAACACTCAGATACATGTGCAAACTTGAATCCCTTATAAAAGCAAACTATGCTTCATCTCAGTATGGATAGATAAGAGGGCCTGGATTTGTAGGACCTAGTTACTATATTAAAATGGCCAATTTGACTCCAAAGCAAGGGAATTTAACTGGCCTGACACACAAAGAAAGAAAAAGACTGGACAGTTAAATATACCTGAACTTCTTATCTTACTTTCTCTCTAGCACTTTTGTCTTGTATAGAAATCTCTTGAACCTAAGTCTTAAGGTATACACAGAAACAGAATGTAATCATATTTTACTTGTACCACAACCAGCCCACCCCACTACTAACCTAGCTTTTATCATAGGGCTGGGCACACAAGACTTAATTACCACTTGTTATAAATGAATGCCATCTGTCCAAAATTTTGTTAATACTTTATTTTATAGCTGCTTTTTCTAGATTCTCCAGTTCATTCTCTAATACTATTGCCTATGAAAGTTGCATCTCTTTACTCATGCTTCCCTTTATCTCACAGAAATACCTATTCTTCCCCATTCCTTCAGATCTCTACAGTCATCTCATTCCTCAACTACCTTAAGTTAGCCCCCACTCTTCTACTGAGAACCAAATCCAGCTGGTAAGTCACCTTAATTTCCTAGTCTTTTGAATGCATCATTCTCTATACCTTCTTTCCATACATTAAAACGAGCTTTGAGGGCTGGGAGGCATGGCTCAAGCAGTATAGCACCTGCCTCAACAAGCGCAAAACTCTGAGTTCAAACCCTGGTACCACCCAAAAAAACCTAGCTTTGATTTTTTCAAATGACAAGATTACTACCTCCCCTCATTCCAACCTTTCCCAAAACCCACTCTGTGTAGGAAATCATTTCAGGATATGGTGGTTGGATGAAAATATTCATCTATCAAAAGTTCTCAGAGTTCACCCACCTTTCTGTCTGCATCAAATCTATTTGAAAAACAACAAAAAGTGTCAATTGCAGTAAAAGGCCTATGGGAAAAAAATGATGTTTGTTGGTGGTGTGCAGGTATGTCAGAGAATATTTGCATGTGTTTATGTACACATATTACACATGCATACACACACATATATAAATATATTCTGCCCAAATTAGCACAAACCCATAAGCTCACAAACCAAATCTACTAAATGTGACCCAAACCACAGGTACTGTACCTATGGCTATTTCCTGCAAGTAGAACTGGCATTACCTTTGTGTCAAAGTCAGTTGCAAGTTGTTAATACTGTTGCAGGTAGTTAGGATTCTGATTTTTTTGTAATGTCAATGTAAAACTTAACTTATTACCTCAAGATACTGGCCATGTTGTATGACTTCTGCGCAATACCCAATATATCCTCAACACTGAGAAATACTAAATTTACAACTTAAGGAGGAAAACAGAGGCTTGCTTCACAGTGGTTTAATATGAACAGAGTTGAATATGACATCGTCTGACAAGAATGAACAGTTTGCTGAATAAAAGCCCCGAATCAGGATATATACACAGCAGAAATGGGGCCTCAGACTCTCAGCACTTGTGCACAATGAAAAGAAGAAATATTTTTTTTAAAAGTCTATAGCAGAGGATACAAATCAAAAAGGCAGCAACAACACCAACACTGGTGAAGTGGGAAAGGGAGCAGAATCTCTCTCTAAGGGCTGCTCGGCCCCTGGCATGGCCTTGGCAGGTAGAAGGCTGATCTGTCTCAGGGAACATCGACATTTAAATGGGTTCTAAATCCTATGTCAAAATCTAACTCTAATCTCTCTGATCAGGGTCACATCAGAATCAGTAATCATTTCCCCCAAGGATCTATACAGAAAACTCTAATCCTTCCATGATAGGGAGTCTAAGCAAAGAGCCCAACTTTAATCTAGCACCAGAGTTAATTTGCTCTCATACCACCACTTGGATGTATAGCAAGCCCCAGCAAACAAACCAATACCTCCCAGACAAAAGTCTAGTATAGTTGCCAGCCTCAAGAAGCTGAGTTAGCCTAATATTTAGGAAATCCATACCCAGCTGCTAGCACTAGTTCAACATCTGAGGATGATGCTGGAGTTCCATGGCAAACAACTGTAGGCAGCTCAATAACCCTGTGACCAAGCTGGGAAGGGAAGCAACAACTCTTGCCTTTGAGCCCCATTCAACAGCTCAAAGTGCTTAGGAGAAATCAGAGAATGTATAGTTTGTGTGCTTCTGCCCTTAGGAGAGCACTAAATGGGATAAGAGAAGGAGAATGGAAGAAGGAAAATGGTGATGCTCTTCCCTACCACTTGAAGGAACCTAGAACTCCCACAATTCAGGGAGTCACCTGGTAGTGGTGAGTTACCCCCACCGCTCAAGCCACCAAACCCATAAAGTTGGAGAGGAAGAACTGCTGGCCCATACTGACTCATCAGCTGGTGAGCAAAAATAGGCAGCCAGAGTAGGGAGCCAGCCACAAAAGGAGAGAGGCTAGGCAATAGGAGATCCCCTACTGCCTTATGGCTTTCTTTTGACTCTGCAGCTGCCATCATGGTGGGCCTAGAAAGCCCACACACCTTGCTCCACACAGCAGACTGCTTAGACTCTAGAAGAATTACTGCCATAAAAAGCAACAAGGGAGAGAGAGAAAGGAACAAAAGAAACTATTAAGAAAACTGGGAGCAGACCTAGAGAAAACAAGAAGGGCTTTTGAGTCTCTACCACCTTCCCAAAAGGAAAAACAGTTCATGCAGAAAGACAAGGATTTTCCCTGCTCAGCAGTCCTGGTTAAACCTAAGAATAAGAAAAATCCCCTGCACTTGCAGCATCAGTATGCATACAAGGGCCTCCTAGCACACCTCCCCTCCCCAAGGTTAGCCTTCTGGCACGGGTAAATGCCCAAGAAATTGCCTTCCAGTCCACTCCCCCACTCACCCACCCAACCCCAAGCAAAGGGCATCTGCCTGTGGTTTCCCACTTCTCCTCAGAGAAGATCCTAGCAAAGTGCCCACATGGTGTAGTCAGGTACCAAGGGGCACAATGCCAGACAGTCTATCAGGCCAGGGGATGGACAGCCAACTTCAGATCAAAGAGAAAGAGAGGCTTAGTGTAAAAATCAATGTCATTTCAGCAGGAAAGTAGAGGGCAAGTGTTGAGAGGGGCTCCTACTGGCGCACCTTCCCGGGGACGTAGTTCCTGTCAATTGCCTCCTCCTGCAGGAACATGTGTAGGCAGCGTTCATTCTGAGCCAGTGGGTGCCCAGCAATTCTATAAAGAGACCAAGATGGTTATCAGTAGTATTTGAGATCAGAGAGAATTAACAGAGGGATAGAAGTGTGGAGAGGGTAGAAAGGACAAGGTCAGCCCTAAGGTTTGAGCTATTAAAGGACAGCAGTAGGGTATCACCTAAACCCTAATATATGAGAGGGGAGGGGAAGGGAATTCCCCCTCCAAGATAAAAGCATTAACAGCTGGGCGCTGGTGACTCATGCCTATAAATCCTAGATACTCAGGAGGCAGAGATCAGAAGGATCATGGTTCGAAGCCAGCCTGGGCAAATAGTTCTCGAGACCCTATCTTGAAAAAACCTTTCACAAAAAAGGCTGGTGGAGTGATTCAAGGTATAGGCTCTAAGTTCAAACCCTAGTACCGCAAGAACAACAACAAAAAAAGCACTAATATACAATGTTCTCTCAGACCCTGATATACAGGATCAGAATTTTGCTCAAAGAATGGCGTTTTACTGCCTTGTCAGCCCAGCACACAATCAGTGCCACATCACAATACCCACTGCAAAAGGGTAAGGCAACTGGGTGCCTGTGGCTCACACCTGCAATCCTAGCTACTCAGGAGGCAGAGATCAGGAGGGTCACAGTTCAAAGCCAGCCCAGGCAAATAGTTCTACGAAATCCTATCTTGAAAAAGCCCTTCACAAAAAAGGGCTGGTAGTGTGGCTTAAGGTGTAGGCTCTGAGTTCAAGCCCTAGTACCGCAAAAAAAAAAAAGTGTGGTAGACAAAACACAGAAAGACCATGATGGGTTAGGAATATGGCTCAGAGGCAGAATTCTTGCCTGGTAGTAGTGCAAAGCCCAGGATTTTATCCCAGCACCACCAAAAAAAAAGACCATGATGGCAAAAAAGTAGCAAGTGGAGCCTCCCCCCAGGAACTTGGCTTACTTGTTAATAAACTGTTCCAGGCCCTGCCTCCTTTCTTCAATAAAAGACTCCTCAAAGATCCCTTCATCTCCTCTGAAAGGGAGCTGCCGCTTCAAGGCTTTCCCAGGTAGTGGTGGTACTACAATCTGCAGGGAGATGCAAAATATCAACCCGATGGGAGAGGGATGGAGGGGAATGAAATGGTGAATCCCTAAAAACCTCATCTCTTACTAGGCATAGGATTCATCCTGTCCCAAGGTCAGCAACTTACAAGAACTAAGACCTTAGAACAGTCAGGATTTGTCAGATTGATTCAATTGTTTTTGTGGAAGGACAGTTTTACCATCTCTAAAGAAAGGAAATGAATTTCAAGTAATCTTTACTCTTGGCCTTTTCTGACACTGTATTTTCCCTTTTTATACCTATAGGATTTAAGTTGTAAGACTTTACTAGCCATTAAGTGAAGTAATACTTTTTTAAAAAACTGTCCTAAACTTACCTCTTTCACATTTGAAAGGGTACTCCCCCCCCCATCCAATATACTGGGATTTGGTAGATGAAGAGTGCACTCAGCCTCTCCATTACTGTCTAGATTTTATAAACTGTGATCTTATTCCCTCTCAATCTGAGCATACCTTCTTCTCCAAGGGTGCTACATAGGCTATGGGCCATACCTTACTATCACGTTCCAGCTCATTTTTTAGCCACTCAAAGTCACTGTAGCGCCGCCGTACACAGGACTCTTTCAGCTTGAAGATAGGTAGGTTTGTCTACAGGGAAGGAAGAATGAATGAAGAAAGATGGTAAGTAATACTCAACCTGTGGTGGCCACCTATCAGAACCCATTAGGCAGATTTCAATGAAGAAATAGCTCCTTGGACTGGATGTATGGCTCAAGCAGTAGAGCACCTGCTTTGCAAGAGTAGAGTGCTGAGTTCAAACCCCAGTCCCACCAAAAAAATAATTTGTTAAGAAATAGCTCCTACAGGGCTGGGGATATGCTCAGTGGTAATTCACTTACCTAGCATGCATGAGGCCCTGGGTTTGATTCCCAGCACCTAAAACCGCTTCAAAACATCATCAGGTGAGTACCAAACCTTACCATGCCAATCATGTCACAAATGGCAGTAAATCCCTTGCTGGGGTTTGGGATGTAGCTTAGTGGTACAGCACTTGTTCAAGACCCTTGGTTCCATCCCCAACAATGCAAAAAAACCTCCCTTGCTGCTTAGAATTTATTCTACAAGTAGATTCACATTCACATGTAAGTGTGCATATAAGAGTTTTCACTGCATTTTATTATTGCAATAATAAATACCCATCAACAGGCAATTGGTTAAATTATGATATATTTATATAGTGGGATGCTATACAAGAAAAGAATGTGAAAAATCTATAGATAACAGTATGGAAAGATACTAAGTGGAAAAATCAAGGTACAGAACTCTGTGTGTGTGTGTGTGTGTGTGTGTGTGTGTGTGTGTAAGCTTACCTCTATGTGGATATATATGTATATAACATATTTATGAAAATATTGGTAATAGTGATTGATTTCAGAGAGTTAAGACCAGACAAATGGAATCGATGGAAGAGACACTGTTCATTGTACAATTTACCATGGGCATATATTACATTTTCTATTAAAATGTGCACTGAAAAGCTAGCATGGTGGTGTATGTCTATAATCTCAGCACTCAGGAGGCTGAGGCAGGAGGACTGAGAGTTTGAGGGCAGCCTGGACTACATAGTGAGTTCAAGGCCAGTCTAAGCTATATAGTTAGACCCTGACTCAAAACAAAAAAAAAAGTGAGTCTTTACTCCTACTTTCTGCATAGGGAACAGGAAATGTTTCTTTCTTTTTCCTCATTTCAACCTGCTTTCATCCTGTTATACTAAATTTCTTTACTAATAAACTTTGCTATCATTTTCACTACAAAAGAAGTGATGCTCCCTGTAAAAAAAAAGAGAGAGAGATAAACACCTCCAAGGTGTGCATCTTTCTGTTTTTCCTGTTCAAATTCTTTCTGTTCTAGAAGTCTTAGCTCAAGTGTCACTTCACCCAGAAAAGTCTTCCCTGACAACACCAGCTGGACATATTATGGTCTTCTTCCACTCTGAACTCCTCTGACATTTACACTTCAGTATTGCTTGACACACTACTAGGTTGGTTTTTTTTAGCAATATTGTTTTATGCATTGTGTTTGTCTTGTCTACCTGACTAAATTATGATCTCATCAAAATCAAGAACCATAACTTCTGCATCTCCCAAAATGCAAGTTACTCAATAAATACTCAATTACTGAAGAGAGACCCTATGTATCTGCTTGTCCTTTCCTTACCTAGAAAATGCAGAATGAATGGTCACATAATAGTGATATTATGTGAGTTATAACTAATGTCAGTTGACTAGTTGTTTGGCTTTTGATGGCCTATATCAGAACTGGATCTTGAAATGGTGATTTTCAGACTTGATGAGTAAGGATTTTGTGATGTTCTAGCAGAGCTGTACGATGCTTTTTTCTTACCAAGAGGCAGTTGTGGAGAAAGGAAAGAACTAGTTCCTTTTGTTACCCATCCACTGCTCTGAATTGGCTTGCAGGAAATATGGTCTGTATTAATACATGTGTTTGGACATTTCTATTTAGAACTTGTAGACAGGAGTGATGATCAGGGCTTTTAGTCACTAGAGCCTGGGGAATCTTCTCAATGTTTAAGATGTGTAAATAAGGCATTTATATAACCATTTCAAGATCCAGTTCTGATATAGGTCATCAAAAGCCAAATGACTAGCCAACTGACATTAGTTATAATTCTACCCGGAATCCTCAAGGTCCAAGCAATGTCAGTGGGTTGAAATGCAGTGAGATATACTTAAAGTAGTATTTTATAATCTAAACCATCCTTTAAACAAATAAACAAACAAAAAACAGTGGTTTCTTCAAAAAAGAGAATTTCTGGGGGCAGAGGATGGAGGGAGACTTAGTTCTTACAGTATACTTTTTGAATTTTGTATCATGTTCATGTATTAATTGTTCAAAACAAACCATTAAAGAAAATTTTCTCAGAATTCCATAAGAGAAAAAAAGCCCTTTGGTTTCATGTGATTCCAGATTTCCACTAGAGTTCATTACAGATACTGTGATCCCCAAACAGTACAACAGAAGCCAACAAAGGACAAAATAAAATTTTTAAATACTGAGTAGATTTTTTCCAAGACACAGCTAGACCAATCACTGCCATTTTGAGACTTCCTACTTGACTCACAATAATGCTTATTTCCCTACTTGTACAAGATGGTGACAATAATGGCCTTTCATCTCAACACCTACATCTACAGAAGAGGCTAATGTGGTAGGCTAGTCCCCAGGTTCCAACCTTCAAATCTTGAGGAATCCAGGACTGTATAATCAAGATATTGAGTATCCTTTGGTTCAGAATACAACAAAGTAAAGAGAAAGGAGAGAAAGAAGCAAAAGTCAAGTCCACAGGACAACTAACATTTGAAACATTTCATATACATCATGTGAGGTCACCCTGACACTTCTCCAGACTCCACATGGGAGGCAGATTCCTTCCTAAACAAATTAAAAAGAACAGCTTCAGCAATATTTATTATATGGAGATGTGGGTGTAGGTCAATGGTAGAGTATATGCTCATCATGCATGAGGCCTGGGGTTCAATCCCTAGCACTAAAAAAAAATAAATAAAACAAATAATTCTACCAATTTTTCCCCAAAACAGAGTGCAATAAAAATATTAAAAGCCACTGGCACCTGGCTCTGATGAACATCTTAAGAGTGTATTTTCCACTTTAAAGTTTTACAACTAAGCCTTGACAAAGTAGTAGAAAGAACATGGAATCAGACAAGCTTGGGTTCAAATCCCAGCAATGTCACAGTTATGTGTACTTGGGCAAATTACTTAAAAGTATGTCTTAGCTGTGCACCAGGGGCTACTGCCTGTAGTTCTAGATACTTGGGAGGCTGAAATTGGGAGAAGGCCAGCCAGGGTAAATAGTTCCCAAGACCCCATCTCCCAAAAAATAACCAAAGCAAAATGAATTGGGAATGTAGCTCAAGTAGTGGAGTGCCTGCTTTGCAAAGGTGAAGCCCTCAGTTCAAACTCCAGTCCCACCAAAAAAGTGCATGCCTTTTCAGTTTTCCATTTGTAAATGGGGTTTTTGTAAGGATTAAGATAGAAATTAACACCCATGTCAGTGCCTGATATACAGCACTAGACGAACAGTTATGAGACTATCTGAAGTAGAGAGCTACTTTACTCATAATCCCAAAGACTCTTAGGTAATTCATCAAAACAATGTCTCCAAAACCCCCCAGCAGAGTCTTTATAGCAAACAAGTTATGCTCTGACTCCCTCAGGTAATGAAGTTCTTTACCACTAACAGTTCCACGCTTTCATATTTTGGAAGACCCAAATTCCATACTTCTACGAAGAGAAGACTTCAAATAGTTCTTATCTATATAAAACAAGTGTTTCTTATGTTTTGCTATTTACTTTTCTTTCATCAGTTTGAATTTTTGCCACAGTTGGATTTGGATATCATTTCTCAATAAGGTTTCAAAGCACCAGTAGGCGATCACATTTTTTCATTTAATCCATTCACTCAAAAATGAAAACACCATATACTTTTAGGTCTTCAATGCTGCTTGAGCAAGATGCTGTCTGTAGAGAATATATGGCTCCCTCTAGTCTGAGAAGAAAACATAAGGAAAACTAGAAAAAGGTTCTTAAACTTTTTAACCTATAACCACTTCAAACTAGGCAAAAACCCTGCAAACCATGTACTCTATCTAAACATTACATCCTTGCACGGTGGACTAAGCACTAGAGAATAAAGTCCTCTGTGGTGCACATTGAAAGAAGCCACTCCTAGACAGTCCTGAAATGTCATGTATTAAGGTAACTACAGATCAGGGACAGAATCCAAAAGGTTAATGTAAGACAGAAAAGGCAAATGGCCCTTCATATACAGAGAACCAAGTAAAAGCCAATAAATATTGAAGTAAACATTCTGGATACTTCAAATCTAAGGGATCAGCACAGGATGAGAGCAGCAACTGACAATCCACCAATTCCAGTTCAGGGCCAGGTTTCACGATGAGACACAGCATGTGGTACCTGAGAAAACTTAAGCATAAAACATTTCTCTGCTTCAGATGTTAATCCTAGCCAAGTCAGGGAAGTCTCAAAGAGACTCCCTTTATATTTCTGCTCCCACAAGCCCCTTTCTTAGGGTCTATCTTCCCTTTAACCCAAGGCTTTGCTTAATTCCATCATCCCGGAGAGACCTCATTGGGAAGAACCCGGGCCTGCGTGTCCTCTGTTCAGACTGACTTCCCATAACCTAGTTTAGTTATGGGACGCAGCGGTATGTCGCCTTGGCTTTCCACTCCCCAGCCCTCTTCCACCCTCCCTTTCCTTCCTTCTGTCAGTCATGATCCCTATCTACTTGAATTCCTCACTAATCTTTGTTCATCTTCCCCACCCTGTCCAGCCATGCTTCGCTTCTTCCTCGTGGGTACTTGTTTTCCCTCACCCCCTGTCCGATGTCCCCCTCAGGAGTTTTTTGTATCCTCGGGCCACAACTAAGTCTGCAGTCCTGTCTCCAAACCTATTAAGTCCCTAACCCCCAAATGACCCCTTCTCCGCCGTTAGCCGTCCCCACAGCAACCTCCCCCCCGCCCGCCCCGTCTTCCCTAGGCTGTCTCCCTCACCCCGTGACTCACCCGCATGCGAACCTCATAGGTGGTGAAGCGCGCGCGGCCCACGCCCACTGTCTGTGGATTAAAGATGTCGATCTCCAGGAAGTTACTTGGCGGCCCGTAAGCGTCGGTCAGGTCCTGCGGCTTCGAGTTAAGGCGCCGAGTGTCAGCTACTGCCGTGTCAGACATCTTTCCGAAGGACAGACCGGGACCAGGGAAGGGGGGGTGGGGGGACAGAGGCTGGAGGCAAGAGCGCGCACGGCCCCTCCCGTTTGCAAAATAACCAGCCAACCCACAGACAGAGGCGCTGCGCACGCGCGCCCACGCATGCGCGCACGCGCACGCCGGCCAACTCGGCCCCGCGCCCTGTATAAGTACCACGCTGACTGCCGCATGTCAGTGCAGAGGAGGTCTCATTCAGGCTTCCGGGTGGTGTCGGTGGCTGCCCTGGAACCTGCATCTCCAGTCCGCACCATCCAATACCCTGCGAAGCACCACAGGCAGGCTCCACCAATCATCGCTCCTCAACCCAAGAAATTGTCTCCTACCGTTTATCAATCAGCGGTGGGCACTGCCCAGCAAGCTAGGATCCTACCGTGATAGGCCGAAACCCGGTGACCTGAATTAAGTCCGAGTTTTCCGCGAAAATAGAAGGGTGGTCTCTGGAGGGTGGGGTTCCAACAATAGTACCGAGAACCTAGAGTGCAACCCCGCCACTTGTGCCACTGATAGTTTCCGCTCATGCCACTACAATTAAGCACTCAATAAGCATACTGTGTGGGGCCAGGAAAGCAGCGAACAACTAGAATGCGGTAAACAAAGATTACTTCTCTTTCACATCTGCAAAATGGGTTTTTAAAAAACGAAGAAAAAAATGGCATTCTCTTTTCAGGAAAATTAGGCATGTTTTCATCCTCCACATTACCACATAAAATCCAACTCCAGGTGTATTTTTCAGCAAATTTGAGGGCATTTACTTCACACTTTCTGTCTTGCAGACCTTCATATTTGGCAATTCTCTGAGGTTGCTTGCAACCCATAATGGAGATATAACACACACCTACATGAGAACATGTATAGATACTAATACTTGCAGGACTAAATTTACACACGCCTCACATTAAGGTGTTGACGGCTGATAATTTCAGGTCAGCCTTCCTCCTCCCTTCACCTGCCCTCCTCTGCTCAAAAAATGTATCTCCGGCTAGGGGTGTGGCTCAAGTGGTAGAGCACGTGCCTAGCAAGCCCAAGACCCTGAGTTCAAACCCTAGTACCGCCAGTATCCAGTATATATATCACTGATGCCTGAAATTCTTTCAATAAAGCACAAGGGCCTCCAATTTCACAATGAGATTATTTACCATTCTAAGTACTAAAGACCTAGAGTTAAATAAGAGCGTTCCTGCCCTCAAAGAGTTAACACTAACTCAACAAGTAAACAAACCAACATAATATGACAAATATAAGCAAAGTAGCACCTAGAACATGTACACTTGGAAGGCTTAAGAAAGGGTTCCTAAACTGGGCGCTGGTAGCTCATGCCTATAATCCTAGCTACTCAGGAGGCAGAGCTCAGGAGGATTGAGGTTCGAAGCTAGCCCCTGGCAAATAGTCTGTGAGACTCCATCTTGAAAAAAAACTATCCCAAAAGGGCTGATGGAGTGGCTCAAGGTGTAGGCCCTGAGTTCAAACCCCAGTACAAAAAGAAAGAAAGAAAGAAAGGCTTCCTATAGGAGGAAACATCTGAGTTTAACAGACATGAAAAGACATAAAGGAAAAATAGGAGTGGAGATAGGGAAAAGTAATTTTTAGCACAGGAAATCGCATATGCAAAAGTCCTTGTGATAAGTTGATAAGTGCAAGGCCCTGAGTTCAAGCCCCAGTACCACAAAAAGAGAGAGAGAGAGAAAGAGAGAGAGAGAGAGAGGGAAATAGAAAAGAAAGAAAGAAATACCATAGCATTTTTAGGCAAAACTCACTAATTCGGATTGGGTAATGGAAATGTTTGGAGAGGTAGGGTGGCTGGAGATTGGCAGGGGAGAATGAGCACTCTATATTAAGCAAAAGATATCTGACTTTATGATAGGCTATAAGGAGCCACTGAAGGATCTTTTTTTTTTTTAATGTTTTACTGAAACTTAAAATATTCCATCAAATAACCTAGGAAAATCCAGATAGCAGAAATAATACATGTCACAATTCTTTAAGAAGTCTCAAATTAATTTTAAAGGCTATAAAATGATATACACATATATACTATGCCATTTAAATAATTTCTACTTTCTGTACTTGAGAACTTAAGTATAGAAATAAGCTTTATGGTGCTTATTTGGGGTCACTTCTCCCCAATATGACTGCATAGACATTTAAGGTTAAGTGTGAACATTATGTGAGGTTTCAAGTCACTTAATCGATCAATTTTAGGCCAAAATCAGCATATTAGACTTTCAGTCCAAGGAAATATCTTCAGTGAGCTCATATATGTGTAAGGGATGTGTGTAAGTCAAGGGAAGGCCACTGAAAGATCTTAAGCAAGAAAAGACACGACTGCATTTACATTTTAGAAGGATTATTTTGAAGATAACATGGGAAAATGTATTTAAGTTGGATATAACTAATTATAAAGGAACTGAGAATAAAAGAGTCAGGTGATGATGGTGGCAATGGAGAAAAGGGAAAAGATAGGATAGAGACTGAGGAAATAAAATAAATATGAGTTGTATTAGATATGGTGATAAAATAGGACAGGACTTAATTAAGAGTGCAAGCCATTGGTTGAGGCTGCCTGGGTTTAAATCCCTGCTTCCTACTTGTGTAACCTTAAGCAAGTTACAGTCTTCCTCATCTATAAAATGGAAATGGAAAGACTAAAAGCTACTTCTGGACTGTCATGAGAATTTAATGAAATAAAATACTATATGTGCAAACAATAAGTGTTCAGTAACTGTTGGGTATTATTATTGTTGAGCAGGGAGAGAATTGAAAATGACCCCTGGGTTTCTGACTTAGGTACCAAAGTACCATCAATCACAACTGTAATTACATGGCTGAAGGCTCAAGTGGTAGAGCGCCTGCTTAGCAAGCGTGAGGCCCTGAGTTCAAACCCCAGTCCTACAAAAAAAAAAAAGTTGGAATTACAGAAAGAGGAGTAAGTTTGGGAGGAAAGACAATGAGTTCAGTTTAGAAAAATTGAGGTTATTTATAAGACAGCCACGTGGACATGTCCACTGGCAGCTGGAAATACTTGCCTGGAGCTTGACAGCATGGTCAGGGTTAGAGATAGAGACTAGGGAGTCATCGGCATATAGTATAGAAAGAAATATGTTCAGATGCAAGAACAGATTTCAAAGTTGGTGAGAACATGCAGTTTGGGTATGAGTGTGAATCCCTACAATCTTTCTGGGAAACAAATTGTGTTTAATAAAATTTTTTGAACATTAAGAACACTTGTATTACTGGTTGTCACTGGAGAGAACAGGAGAATAGGAGTATCTGATGGCAGGGAGAATTGTTTTTTCATTTATTATGTTTAAGTACTCTTATTTTTTTTAAGTTTTATGTAGGCACTGTACTGCTTGAGTCATGCCCTCAGCCCTATATTTCTAAATGTTACTTAACTGAAAACTTTGACTCAAAAATTTTACTTCCAATAATTTATCCTGAAAAAATAATCAGCTAATGAAATAAAATACTAGTATAAGGATCTTACAAACTTTCATTTTGTGCAATATTTTTATAGTCATTTTTTCTGATTTGTGAATTTGGCTTTTTTGGTTTGGTTTTTGCTTTTGCTTTTGTTTTCTGATATGGATATCTCATCGTTATGTTGCCCATGCTGGTCTCGAACTCGAACTCCTCCCACCTGAGTTGCAGTAGCTGGGACTAAGGCATGTACCACTTCATCTGGCTTATAAATTTATATGACAAGTCTTATAAAGGGGTAGCAAATTTTCTATTTTATAAGACTTTGTATCTCAATGACTTCCATCACAAAACTCAGTCTCTTGTGTAAATGACCAAATTCAAGGTTCTCCTATATATCCATTTTAAAATAATGCTCTGGGTTAGGGGTGCAGCTCAATGGTAGAGCATGTGTTCAGCATGTGCAAAGCCCCGGGTTCAATCCCTAGCACTCAAAAAATAAAATGTTTTATGCTTGTTGGTGCAGAATAATGTCCACGAAAAAGTGAGAAAAGTGGCAAAAAAATTGTAGTGTGATACCATTTTACTAACTTATATGATATATGTAATAATTTTTAAAGTCTAAAAGCATATACACCAAAATGTTAGGAGCAGTTACCTCTGGGTGCTGAGAATCAAACCCAAGACCCCATGCAAGTTATACAAGTAATCTACCACTGAGCTACACCCCCAATCCCTAGGTTCTGACTTTTTTGTGTGCTACTAGAGTTTGAATTTAGGGCCTCGAACTTGCTAGGCAGGCGCTCTACCACTTAAGCCACTTTGCCAGCCCTGTTTTGTGCTGGATTTTTTCGAGATAGGGTCTTGTGAACTATTTGCCCCGGGCTGGCTTCGAACCGCAATCCTCCTGATCTCTGCCTCCTGAGTAGGATTATAGGCATGAGTCACTGGCGCCCAACAGGATCTGACTTTATTAGCAATGGACTTATACTTCTTTTTCATCTGTTTGTTTTGTTTTGTTTTTGTGGTGCTGGGGATTGAACTCGGGATTTATGTTCCTTTTTAATCAGAAAAAAACTATTTCCATTTGGGAAAAATATTAAAGGGCAGGCATAGGAAGAAAAGCTTGTGAAGGAGGCCAGGAAGGAGTGGTCAACAGATCCAGGAGATGATAGTGATCTGAAGACAAGGGATGAAAAAGTTTCCAGAAGGAGGTGGTTAACAGTGTTTACTACAAGAAGAAAGGTCAAATAAGATAAGCCCTGAGAAATGTCCACTGAGTTTGACACTACCTAGATGAGAGCAGTTTCAGTAGAGTACTGGAAATAGAACGGATTGAGAACCAAGTCAGAAAAGTAAAACTATTTAGTACAGAAAGTCTTTTAAGAAGTTTACCAAGCTGGGCACTGGTGGCTCACACCTGTAATCCTAGCTACTCAGGAGGCAGAGATCAGGAGGATCTAGGTTCGAAGCCAGCCCAGGCAAATAGTTCACAAGACCCTGCCTCAAAAAAACCCATCACAAAAAAGAGCTGGTGGAGTGGCTCAGGGTGTAGGCCCTGAGTTCAAGCCCCAGTACCACACAAAAAGAAGCTTACCTAGAAAGGATGCTAAGGGCAATGCATTGTCAAAGAAGGATTGTTTGTTTGTTTGTTTAAGGATAGGAGAGACTGAAATGTATTTATCAGCT